GTGGAGGGGTGGAGGGGTGGAGGGGTGGAGGGGTGGAGGAGTGGAGGAGTGATGGAGTGAAATCGTTCCACCACAACAACTTGGAAAACAACAAATATTTTCCAAGTTAAAACTAAGACCTAAGACCCCCTCTGAAGCACCACTCCATTGTTCTCAGTTTACCTTTTGATTAGTTAGTTTTCTTCTAGGTCAGGCCCAGTTAAGTAGTTGCACTGTAGTCTTTGAGGTTCTGAGGGGGTCTTAAGTTTGAGTTTTCAAGATTAAGAGGGGGTCTTAGGTCTAAGTTTTTGAGATTTGGAGGGGGTGTTACGTCTTAGTTTTTGAGATTGGGAGGGTGTCTTGGGTCTTCATTTTTGAGATTCAGAGGGGATCTAAGGCCTTAGTTTTTGAGATTGGGAGGGGGTCTTATATTAGTTTTTGAAATTTTGAGGTCCTAGGTCTTAGATCTTAGCACTTAGGTCTTAGTTTTAGCTTAGTTCGTAGCTGGTATCCATTGAAGTCTCTTGTAATAAAATTTTATCTACGTCCAGAGTTCACTTTCTTGATTGGGAAGTGCACTGTGATTGGGCTACATAAATAGCTGTCTGTTTCAGCAGACATTCATTGGGAAGAAAGACTGTGTGACAAGCCATAAGGACTTCTGTGTGGGAGGCTACCTGTAAGCAGGCTAGGCTTTCCACACCTAAACAAAAGTGTGACGACCACAAGAACAATTTAGCAGGCTGGGAGAATGAATTGAATTGAATTCCACAGCCCACAGAGGTAAACAGTACTTAGATGATTGATGGCAACAAAACACAAACTGTTTGATTGAGCTGCGTTTGAACATTTGATCGGTAACTTGATAGCAAAAGTAGATACACTTTAAATATTTTCACTTACGTGGCACCAACAATCAATCTGCCATTTAATTCATCGACAAGGATTCTTTCTACATGTGAGGCTAAGCTTCCATTTGAACAGAATCTGACACAGTCTAGAAAAAAAAAACAACAACCAGTTCAATGAATCAAGAGTGCAGGGCTCTAAAAAGACTTGAATTCTAGCTTGCCCTTGGGACAAGCAGCTCTCAAACCTTGCTTGCCCTCAGTCTAAGTTTACTTTTTTAATGATTTAGTTGGTAGACAACTTGCTTGATCCCTTGCCCATCAGGCAAGTGAAAATGAAAAACTACAGGTACTTGCCCAGAAGGAAAATCTACTTGTCTTGGATTACTGGGCAGTACTTTTTTTGAGCCCTGATGAGTCATAAATGATGCATCACATACAAGTACATTTGTACCTGCTACGGCATTATCACTAATCATTATGATATCCATTTATCACAAAAAGTATTGCTTGTGAATGGTTCTCTACATTCCCATTTGTCATTTAATTGATTTACGATCATGAGGGTTTCCAATGACAAGATAGCATCTAATTTACAAGTCATGTAACTTTTTGTTACTGGATACAGTGTAAGCCCTGTAACTGGACACCTATCCCTTTAGCATGTCAATTAATTTCCTTTTTTCTAGTGAAAAACCAGTGCATTGGAAAATCCTACTCACCCCCATCAGACTTATTTTTCACTTGAAAGAAATTCTTGAAGACTGAACTTATTCTCCAAATTTGTTATTGCTATGATTAATAATTGCCAAACAATTTGGAGCGTACATGTAATCTTAGATGTAATTTCAGATCCCCCTAAAGCTGCATGCTCTACCCGTCTGATTTTGAATTAATCACCCAGTTACTCCCTGAATTGTACTCCACCCAGTCCAATTACTATAATTACTAATGACATGCATAAAGTATAACAGCACCATGAACACTTCAGGTAATTGCCTTCTTTAAATCAAAATTAAAGACAGATTTCATTGAAAATAATTAATTTAATTTTATTGTTATCACACTTTCTAAAACTAACAAAACACAGCTTCACCTCTACAGTTGGTATAGGAAAGAACAGCTTCTCCACTACACAGTTTGCAACACAGAAAACATGAAAGAACTCCAAGTGACAATATCACCATAACCTTGTGCATAATACCTGATGAACAAAATAAATATGTTTGCATCAACATACCCTGGTCTGCACAAGGCCATATGTGCACAAATGACATCATAATGGTTGTAAAACACAATTTTACTGTACACATATACAGTGTTAATACATGAGAACAAAAATACCAAACTCCTATAGACCTAACCATTAATGTTCATTAGCAATAGTCAAAGGGAAAATCATGCCCTGTATGTGTAGTGTTTAACAACCTACATTTTTTTGTCAAATTTTTTCTGCCAATAAAATAATTTTTTACTTGAGAAGTCAACACTGTACTAGTTTTAGACATCCATGATGTAACAAAATATAACATTATAACTATACTTGCGGCAAGATGTTAGCCAGGATTTGAAAGTGGGTGTCCAAAATCAAAAGAACAAGCTTAAACAGACAATTTACATGTATAAACCAACATATTAACTTAAGATAATTAAAAAGTAGGCATCCACAGGAAACTTCCAGGGACATCCATCTGGCTAAAAGCCTGCTATAAAGCACATTAAATAGCTTCTCTTATCACAAATCCAGTTCACACAAAATTCAATTTCTGTCGATTTTTAGCTTTTAAGTTCACACTGGACAGTGTAACTTTTATTGATCTGATAAAGGAAAGCTTTCTTAGCATTATAAATTATAGCTTTTCTTATCACAAATCCAGTTTATGCAAAATTGAACTTTAGCCAATTTTCAACCTTTAAGTTTACCATTTCCTTGGAAAAACAGTCAGGAGTGCCCAAAGAAGAGATATATACATGTACCAAACTTCAATGATTGAAGTTATTAAGTTGCATAGTTGAAATTATGATGAATTATTTGGGTGTCTCAAAAACTAAGATCTAAGACCTAAGATCTAAGACCTAAATAAAACCTAACTGGCTAAGACCCCCTCCGAATCTCAAAAACTAAGACCTATGGCTAGGTATAAGACCCCCTCCCAATCTCAAAACTAAGACCTAAGACTAGGCCTCGATAGATTCTGCTCAAAAAATGTTAAAAAGTTGTTTAAAAATATCCCCAAAAGTTGCCAGAAGTTGCTCAAAAGTTGCTTAAAAATGCAAAAGTTGCTTAAAAAATTTTTATAGTTGCTTGTGTTTTGGTGTTTTTAGGACTCCACATGTTTCTGAAAAGTACTTTTCATGACTGCAAGGGTTTCCTGACACGCTTTGCACCGCAGCTGGCCACTGACACAAGTACATGAGATGCTGACCAGGATATTCCTTGATACTGTCATAAACAGAGGATTTGCCCATCGACTTTTGCATCCGACTTGACTTGTATTTGTATTTGCCTTTGTTCTCAACTACAATGTGACTTCGAAATAGTGAAAATATCCCAAAAATATGCAAGCTTTTAGAAAAGATGCTGTAAAGTTGCTCACTCTCCAAAAAGTTGCTCAGCATTTAAAAAGTTGCTCAAAAGTTATCGAGCAGAAGCTATCTAGGCCTACCTAAGACCCCCTCCAAAACTAAGACCTAATACCCCCTCTGAATCTCAAAAACTAAGACCTAATACCCCCTCTGAATATCAAAAACTAACACCTACAGGCTAGGTGTAAGACCCCCTCCCAGTCTCAAAAATTAAGACCTAAGACCCCCTCCAAATCTCAAAAACTAAGACCTAATATCCCCTCTGAATCTCAAAATCTCATTTTTGGGAAATTATTTATAACAAGCTTAAATATTGATAACAATCCTTTTCATTTTTCATTTTGGCAAGAACATCTCTGAATGTAAACTTTCCAGAGCGCTTTTTCTTACCCCTTTTATCTTCTCAGAGGCCCAAATAATTTCCCAATAATATGCAACATAGTGTTTCAAAAATAGACTTGCAGTCTCTAGTTGAGCCCACGGTAATTAGCGAAGATGGCACACAAGGAACAAGTAAGAAATTTTTTTTACAAAGATTCATCTTGAACTAGAAACTGCTTTGAACATATTAATAATATGCTCCCTCATCATAGGCCTGCAGTGCATGCAGAGAGCCTTATGGTCCCTCATCATAGGCCTGCAATGAATGCAGAGAGCCTTATGGTCCCTCATCATAGGCCTGCAATGCATGCAGAGAGCCTTATGGTCCCTCATCATAGGCCTGCAATGCGTGCAGAGAACCTTGTGGTCCCTCATCATAGGCCTGCAATGCATGCAGAGAGCCTTATGGTCCCTCATCATAGGCCTGCAATGCGTGCAGAGAGCTTTATTGAAGGGGTGAGTGCAAAACCATGCTAAGTGACGATTTGG